GGGTCTTTAGTGCTCAGTTACACGTTGCCAGTCTCTGTGGCTTGCATTGTTTTTTTAATGCAGAGGGACAGTCAGGCAGCTTGGCAGTGCAAGAACGGAGCAGTCAAGAGGATAGACATATCCCTGTGATTTTTTTAATAATTCATTCATGGGATGAAGGCGTCACTGGCTAGGCAGTATTTATTGCCCAGAGGGCAGTTAAGAGTCAACCACATTGCTATGGGTCTGAAGTCACATGTAGACCGGACCAGGTAAGGATGGCAGTTTCCTTCCCTAAAGGGCATTAGTGAACCAGATGGATTTTTACGACAATCAACAATCAACAATCATTAGATTCTTAATTCCAGATATTTATTGAATTCAAATTCCACCATCTGCCATGGTGGGATTCGAACCTGGGTCCCCAGAATGTTATCTGGATCTCTGGATTAACAGTCTAGCAATAATACCCCAGGCCATTGTCTCCTCCCAAATCAAAGTCACATGGCCTCCCTCCAAATCAATGACATCAAAGTCACATTAGCAATATGTGCCAGCAGCTTACATAACAAGCTCTTCAAGTAATAGCCATGCAGGCCAAAGAGGATCAGTCCTTAGTAGAGTCAGGTAGGGCCACAGTCAGTCAGGGGGTGCTGCCTCCGACAGTCAATGGGCTCATCAATTACGGTGCAGGAAGTCAGACACAGCCAGTCAGGCGTTTGGTACCCCCATAGTGACAATGATAGGAGGCAATTCTCGATTGAAGCTTGCACCCTCATAGACAATGGGAAGGGTCTGGGAGCTCCGGAAGGGCAGATTCTCACGGTCATGGTAATTCTGACCTCTACATAGAGAGGATGTAGGGCCATCAAAGGCATGGAAATTTCCAACGTTAGAGGGTCTGGGTTAAATTAGGTGAGTTGATTGTAACATTAAGGCACTTAATGGAAATGGACGGAGGCTGAAATGTTTTAGAGGCCACAGGGTCTGCAAACCTAAATGGAACGTGAAGGATGATGGGAAAATCTTGCACCACCGGCAGAGTCTGCAAGTCACTCACGAGGGCACAAAGTTGAAACCTATAATTTATCATCCTTACCACCCCTGCGCTCTCAGTAAGTTTTCTTCTTTCTCTCTCTCCTGCTATGTCTAAATGCTGTCCTGAGCTGGGGTAGAAGAAGCCTACTCTTTGTGGTTGGCCCTATTAGCCCAGAACATTTAGGTAGTTGGCCCCAAGTGCCTTTTGCTTAGTGTCCTGCCCAGATGCAGGCTCATCCTCTTTAGTTTGAACATCTACAGTCTCCAGGATCACAGGCAGTGGGGTAAGGTGGAGGGGTTGGGCACCTCTAGGATATCCTGAGAGGACGATTCTGAGGGTCCTGAGCAAGGCCCAACACCTTACGGGTGCCTAATGGCACCACCCTATCTCCACGTGAGGAAGGGGCGCCTGGATTGAGGTCAAGGTCCCTCGTACCCCTCTTGCCTTGCCACTGAAGCTGAGTACCTATGGTGAGAATGATGGTGTAGATCTAGGAGCATGTCCAATAAACACTGGCCCATGGCCGTGGACACACATATGTTAGAGCCAGCATGGTACAGACGGCATTAGTGGACTCTTCCATCTTCCAATCCAGCTTGCTGACTGCCTCTGACAAACCTGCCTGCTGTTCCTGTGCCTTTCCATGCATTTTGACAACGTCACTCCTGGGATCATCCTCTGCCTTGAACTGAGCAGGTATCTGGTCTTTGGCAGTCCTTGGAGTGCAAGAAACAAAGGCCATTTCTTCCTTTATCAGCTGCAGAGGTGTCAGTTATGTGTTCGATAGTCTATACTCCCCTGCCTCATCCAAAAAGAATACCCATTGACGTGGAAGTCCCTGAGCTGGTGGAGGGTTCGTATGAAAGCCGAGTTGGGACTGAGAGGCTCCAGCACTGGCCTCCTCTTCCTGGTGATTTGCTGGGTTGCACTAATGTCCACATAAGAGAAGAGAGGGAATTAGTTGAGTAAAAGGAATAAAACCTTCAGCAGATTAAAAATGAGTTGCTGCTGGTGGTAATCAGAGAGTAGCACAGGACTGTGGAGCTTACGGGGCTGGTTCCCCACTGTGGTCTCCACATTCACACATGAGGAGGTGTGCTTTCCTATGGCTAATTCAAGAATGTTCACCTCAGAGAGAATGAGGAGCCTTATGTCTGCCACTGTCCTACCAGAGATGGCCCTCTCAGTCTAGTTACAGCCATTTATTGCTTTTAGAACCACAGGGAGATGTTTGTAAACAGTAGCAAAATTATATAAACTTTCCTTTACTTGACAACCACAGGGAACACTTGATGAGTTGTGAACAAGGCAGGCCTGAAACCAGCCATGCTCATTGTCACTAATTTCACAAGGGGTTCTATAACTTGTGTCGACCCCCCCAAATTCAGATAGTGAGGGGCCTAACGTCCATGTTAGATAGCTATCTGGTATGCCTAAACAAACACATGAAACTCTGCAGTTACTCTGCTCCAGTTCCTGCTTTATGATATTATGAGTCTCCCCCATCCTCTAGCGTTCTCCTCCCAAAACACTTTGAGCAGAATCAGGGTCTCAGTGATGTGTGCTTTGGTGAGATTTGTAGCGGACAACCAGGGAGACCTACCTTGATTTCAGGAGCATTTCACTCTATGTTTTTGCTGAGAGAGTTTCTCACCAGTGTACAGTGAGTTGTCAATTAAAGGGAATTATTGTCTGTTAAATGCCTTATTAAAACTCGCCTCACTGACATTTGTTTTCCTATCTTACCAAACACACCAAACAAGACATCGAGCATTCTCAACACGGAAATCAGCACGGGTACCTGGTGACTTCAGTTTGTTACTGGCTGCAAGGAACCTCTATGTTGTTTACCATCAAACAGCTACTCAGGACATGATCTGCAGGCACCAGCAACAGGCAGCTTTCTTTCACGGACATTGGCATCTGATGTTAACTGACCCCTCACAATTATCATAGCACCTCTCTAATCCACTTGCAGGAAACTCAGGAAGCACAGACTTCCATTACAGAGAGCACTGCCAACTGGCATTGAAAGGTTGCTGAAGGAACACTCAGCAGGCAAGGACAGGCACCAAGCTCACAGATTACTTCTCAGGGGTATTCATTTACTCTCTAATTGCACCCTCACTTCACCTGAAGTTGCATGCTCACAGAATCGATGCCTTACTTTGCCTTGACATTGTCATACCTGTTAGCGTGTTGCCATTTCAGCCAGAGCCAAACACCATCAGTCATGTTATATTGACATGCTCTTTAGCATAGACACACAGGTAGGTAGTTTGTCAGTATGGATCTGTTGGTGGAGGTAGGGAGGGAACATCTTCCTATGTGGCATATTGAGACGTCAATTTAACACCTACAGCATGTACCAGCTGCCTGCACATCAAACACACAGCACGTTCATTCAACCAAGCAGCATGTTAGAAATTGGTGGGGGCTAGTCCTTAGTCCAATCAAGTGGGATGCTGTTGTCAGTCAGGGGGTCCTGGTAGCATCAATCATGAGCACCATCCTCATTCCATCCAGAGGCTTATCCATGGTCAGTCGGCCAACTGGGACACACATGGTTGGGGGATATGTCCAAATACAATTTAGAGAGTTGGCAATGGTCATTGCCTTCAGGCCAGCTCCAGCAAACAGGGGAATCACGAAATGGGGAGCTGCAAAAACAGCAGTCTAGTGTCTGAGCATCATCTAGGGACTGCTCATCAAAGTCAGTCAGAGGTCTGAGGCAAATTTAGCCCTGGGAGTCAGTCCATTCATCTTTCAGGAGGGTGCAAGGGAGGCTCGTAGGGGCAGGGGGTTATCACTGCCAAAAAGGATGAGGAAGTCAAGGCTGGAGATTTGGGCAACAGGCACTTATAGAGGTGGGTACAAAGATGGTGATAGGGCAAACTCAGGGTGCATGGGGTGTATGCGAAGCAGCATCAGAGGGTATGTTATGCTATGGTGGGGGCATGGTGTTGGCAGTGACCAACATCCCACCAATGGCAATGTACAGGATTCTCAGTAGATATGATCTACTTTAGGAACACAAGGACTGAAAGAGGTTCTCAGGTGTCCACTTCCTGGAGATGTGTGCCACCACCCTGACAGCTGCCACAACTCTGACAGCCTGGAGCACTCTGTGGACCTGCCGTGTCTGAGGACCCATATGCCTTACAAGGCCAGTTACAGAGGGACAAAAGACAGCCACTGTGACCTTAGCTAATGACTCCATTGGGCAATCCCATAACTGAATCAAAGCACAGGTACAATTTGACCAGTGCTGTCGTGTAGCAGACAATAGGCTGCTGAGATGTGGTTCCACTTCTTGGGCCTGTCTGGAGGACCTGTCCAGCACAGTCCAGTCAGAGTGAGCGGTATCATGGTGGCGTTCTGAGGCTCTGCAAATCTGAGCAGGCAAAGAGTTGACATGCTGGATGCTGATGAACTGGGGAAATGGAAATAGTCTTCTGAACTGAATTGCATTTGAAACTTTTCTGGCCCACATGACTAGACCATTGAGATCTCCCTTCAGTCTGGTGCCTTTGCTTTCATAATCAACTGTACAGTTAATTTTCTAACCATCTTCTTCATTTAAGATTACATCACTGGTTATATACTACAAACAAAATGGACGTAGCTCTGGATCCTGCAGAAAATCATTGAAAAAACTTTCCAGTTCCTACTGAGAAAGTCTTCACACAAAAAGTGTTTTATATCGAAAAGACTCAAAGTCCAACTGAGTCCTCTATAATTTGCTTTTCAGGAAATATTGTCCTTAGAATTCTTTAAAGTTCAGATGGAAACAGCCAATAAGAAAACATTTCTTGGTCTGCTGAGTTAATTATTGAAGAATAGACATGTTAAACATTAAAAACCAAAAGAACTGAAGATGCTGCAAATCAGGAACAAAAACAGAAGTTGCTGGAAAAGCTCAGCAGGTCTGGCAGCATCTATGTGGAAAATACCAGAGTTAACGTTTCGGGTCCAGTGACCCTTCCTCAGAGGCTTTTCCAGCAACTTCTGCTTTTGTTCATGTTAAACATTAACACTATATTAGGTATTATTAAACATTAACACTACATTAACACTATTCTAACACTTTTACACAAACATCAACTCAAAGTATGAAACCTAGTGTTAGTTCAAGCTTTATAATATTTTTCTTAACGCTTACTGAGGGCATGTTTTCCAGGAATTTTGTGGGCCAAACAAATTGACCATCATTGCTTTCATATCTTTAACCATGTTCATTCATGACAATCTATAACAATTAGGATTATGCAGTGACAAACTACACTTCTGCATTGTCACTTCCAGAAGTCATGTTGGTGTCCCTTACTTTCCGTCTGAACATGAATGGGAAGGCTTTCTTAAAGGACTTCCTGAAGCTTGCTCCCATAAAACCATAAACTATGGGATTGATGCAGGAGTTGGCGTATGACATGCAGTTAGCCCAAGTCTTGATCTTGTAAGTCACATAGTTGGCCTGAAAATTTGGATAAAAGGCCTGGAACAGGATAAAGAGCTGGATGGGTCCCCAACAGATTGTAAAAAGGAGCACAATTACCACCACCATTTTAGAAATCTTGCTTCTCATTGCTATTGTTCTTTCAGACAAATGCTGAACCTAGGTGAAAACAGATACATGTTAGTATTGCATTCTTAAAAGACAATTGTATCAAATTGGAACTGCTGCTGTTTGAAACCAGAGATCTTCTGAGACCAATTAACAACTTGGATTGCAGGTGCAGCAGGTAATTAAAAAGGCAAATGGAATTTTGTCTGCCATTGCTCGAGGGATGGAGTTTAAAAACAGGGAGGCTATGCTGCAGCTGTATAGGGTCCTGGTGAGACCACACCTGGAGTACTGTGGGCAGTTTTGGTCTCCTTACTTGAGAAGAGATATACTAGCACTGGAGGGGGTGCAGAGGAGATTCACTCAGTTGATTCCAGAGTTGAGAGGGTTGGATTATGAGGAGAGACGGAGTAGACTGGGATTATACTCATTGGAATTCAGAAGAATGAGAGGAGATCTTATAGAAACATATAAGATTATGAAGGGAATGGATAAAGTGGAGGCAGGGAGGTTGTTTCTGCTAGCAGGTGAAACTAGGACTAGAGGGCATCGCCTCAAAATAAAGGGAAGCAGATGTAGGACTGAGGTCAGGAGGAACTTCTTCACCCAAAGGGTTGTGAATCTGTGGAACTCCCTGCCCAGTGAAGTGGTTGAAGCTACCTCACTGAATGCTTTTAAGGCAAGGCTAGATAAATTTTTGAACAGTAAAGGAACTAAGGGTTATGGTGAGTGGGCGGCCAAGTGGAGCTGAGTCTCAAAAAGATTAGCCATGATCTTAGTAAATGGCGGGGCAGGCTCGAGGGGCCAGATGGCGTACTCCTGCTCCTGGTTCTTATGTTCTTTTTGTAAGTTTATTTTGGGTTGGCACTGTATTTATAAATTAAGATTAAATGAAAGGAGCCATCTGAATTATGTTTGAATCTGCTTGAGCGTAAACATGGGTGCTTTAGTCGTTAGCTCAAAAGAAGAATCACATCGTGTTATTGAAAGGAAGGTATCAAACATTAACACCCAGTGAAAATGACAGCTGTTTCTAAGTCCCCACTGAAAAGACAGAAGTAACATTTCAGATTGATAACCCATTATCAGAACATTCTGAAGAAGGGCCATTGACTGAAACATTTTTCCCTTCATAAACCTGACATCCTAACTCAGGTCAAATCTCATTCACTGACTGTCTTTATGCTTGCTGACCCAGACTGGCCCCAGATCCAGCATCACCTCAATTTTGAAAATCTCATTCTTCTTCACAAACGCTTCTATGGCGTCTCCTCTTCCGATGTCCTTAATTCCATCAAACCCTGTAACCCTTTGAATGATCTTCACGCTTTTTGATTTACATTAAGTCAAATTTATCTTAAGTTACATGTGGACTTATGTTAACTCTCTCCACAGGTGCTTGTCAGACCTGTGAAGTTTTTCCAGTAATTTCTGTTTCTGTTTCATTTTCAGCATCTGCAGTTCTTTCAGTTTTTTGTGGACTTTTTGAGCATCCCTAATTCACTTTGCACAGACATTAACAACCATGCCCTCCAACTGGAATGGACATAAGGTTTGGAGTTCCCTCAAATTTCTTATCTTTCCTTGTTCAAGACCCTCCATAAAACCCGCCTCTTTCACCAGTTGTTTTTTAAAGAAACACCCTAATATTAGCTTATGTGGTCCAGTGGCAAATTTTGTCTTGTAATTCTACATTGAGTAATAGGCCTGAATAATAGTACAAGATGGCAATAGACGAGGGCTCCAGAGCCGAAAATTCTCTACTCCAACTGCTTATCTTTCTTCTTTTCTCACATTTTTTCCTTTTATTTTCATTTTCACTTTTTCTTTTGTCTACTTACTTTCTGGAGGAAGCTCAGTTGTGGAGTCAGTGCTGGTGATGGCAGTGGCTGGGGGGGGTTTGGCAGTCAGCCATGAGGTGGCTGGTGTGCCCGGGCAGAACTCTGGGATCAGTGGCATTGTGACTTCTTCGAGGTCTGGAGGGTGGAACTGGCAGGAGGCAATGAACTGTACCCGAGTGCGACTCCAGCAGGACTGCAGGAGCAGGCAGCCCGGGGCAGCCGTCGGCGAGAGCAAGAGAAGGCAGCCAGGGGCGGCTTTAGGAGCAGGAACAGGCTTCCCGTTGCTGCGGTGGTGGTAGCTGGAATAGGCTGCAAAGTGGCAAGAGCAGGCAGCTCAGGTCGGTGACAGGGGCAACGACGCGTGCGAGCCCAACGTGACCAGGCGTTTAAGTGTTAAGTATGTTTCTTTGTTTTTCCACTTTTTAGTAAGAAGAACCATAATGTTGAATGTTTTACCTTTGTTTTTCTTACTATTCTGCTTTGTACCTAAGATTCTGTACCAAGGTACCTTTTGTAACTAAGATGGCACCGTAAATGTTGACATGTAAACTTTCCACTGAAATCATAAAACATAGAACAGCACAGTACAGTACAGGCCCTTTGACCCACGATGTCGTGCCGACCTATTATCCTACTCTAAGATCAAAATACCCTGCATACCCTCCATTTTACTATCATCCATGTGCCTATCCAAGATTCACATAAATGTCCCTAATGTATCTGACTCTACTACCGCTGCTGGCAGTGCATTCCACACGCCCACCACTCTCTGTGTAAAGAACCTACCTCTGACATCTCCCCTATACCTTCCTCCAATCACCTTAAAATTATGTCCCCTCGTGATAGTCATTTCCGCCCTGGGAAAAAGTCTCTGGCTAACCACTTTATCTATGCCTCTCATCATGTTGTACATCTCTACCAAGTCACCTCTCATCCTTCTTCACTCCAATGAGAATAGCCCTAGCTCCCTTAACCTTTCCTCAGAAGACCTGCCCTCCATTCCAGGCAGCATCCTGGTAAATCTCCTCTGCACCCTCTCTAAAGCTTCCACATCCTTCCTACAATGAGGCAACCAGAACTGAACACAATATTCCAAGTGTGGTGTAACCAGGGTTTTACAGAGCTGCAGCATAATCTCACGGCTCTTAAACTCAATCCCACTGCCAATGATTCTATACCATACACCTTCTTAACAACCCTATCAACTTGATTTGCAACTTTGAGGGATCTATGGACGTGGACACCAACATCCCTCTGTTCCTCCACACTGCCAAGAATCCTGCAATTAACCCGGTATTCTGCATTCAAATTCAACCTTCCAAAATGAATCACTTAACACTTCTCTGGGTTGAATTCCATCTGCCACTTCTTTTCTGAGTTCTGCATCCTGTCAGTGTCCCATTGCAACCTACAACAGCCCTCCATGCTGTCAACAACTCCACCAACGTTTGTGTCATCGGCAAACTTACCAACGCACCCTTCCACTTCTTCATCCAAGTCATTTATAAAGGTCACAAAGAGCAGAGGTCCCAGAGCAGATCCCTGCTCAACATCACTGGTCACTGAGCACCAGGCTAAATACAGTATTCTATTGGACAGCCAATTCTGTATCCAGACAGCTAAATTTCCCTGAATCCCATGCTTCCTTACTTTCTGAATGAGCCTACCGTGTGGAACCTTATCAAATGCCTTGCTAAAATCCATATACACCACATCCACTGCTCTACCTTCATCAATGTGTCCTGTCACATCCTCAAAGAATTAAATAAGGCTCGTGAGGCATGACCTGCCCCTCACCAAGCCATGCTATCTCTAATCAAACTATGCTTTCCTAAATAATCACAAATACTATCTCTCAGAATCCTCTCCAATAATTTGCCCACCACAGAAGTAAGACTGACTGGCCTGTAATTCCCAGGATTATCCCTATTCCCTTTCTTGAACAAGGGAGTAACATTTGCCACCCTCTAATCATCTGGTACTACTCCAGTGGACAGTGAGGACACAAAGATCATCGCCAAAGGGGCAGCAATCTTTTCCCTCGCTTCCCGTAGCAACCTTGGGTCGATCCCGTCTGGCCCAGGGAACTTGCCTATCCTCATGTTTTTCAAAATTTCTAGCATATCCTCCTTCCTAACATCAGCCTGTTCGAGCATATCAGCCTGTTTCACGCTGTCCTCGCTAACTACAAGGTCCCTGTCACTGGTGAATACTGAAGCAAAGTATTCATTAAGGACCTCCCCTACCTCCTCTGACTCCAGGCACAAGTTCCCTCCAGTTATCCCTGATTGGCCCTACACTCACTCTGGCCATCCTCTTGTTCCTGACATAAGTATAGAATGCCTTGGGGATTTCCTTAATCCGACCCGCCAAGGCTTTTTCATGCCCCCTTTATCTGGCTATCTTGTAACCCTCTAGAGCCCAGTCCGATCCTTGCTTCCTCAACCTTAAGTAAGCTTCATTCTTCCTATTGACTAGATGTTCCACATGTCTTGTCATCCAAGGTTCCTTCACCTTACCATCCCTTCCTTATCTCAGTGGGACAAACCCATCCAGCACTTGCAGCAAGTCTTCCTAAACAACCTCCACATTTCTGACGTGAATTTCCCTGAGAACATCTGTTCCCAATTTATGCTCTGCAGTTCCTGCCTAATGGCATTGTAATTCCCCCTCCTCCAATTAAATACTTTCCCATACAGTCTGCTCCTATCGCTCTCCATGACTATAGTAAAGGTCAGGGAGTTGTGATCTCTATCACCAAAATGCCCTCCCATCGAGAGATCTGTCACCCGGCCTGGTGCTTTGCCGAGCACCAAATCCAATATGGCCTCCCCTCTAGTCGGCCTATCTACATATTGAGTCAGAAATCCATCCTGGACACACCTGACAAAATCTGATCCATCCAAACTATTTGCACTTAGGAGGTTCCAGTCGATATTAGGGAAGTTGAAGTCACCCATGACAACAACCCTATTATTTCTGCACCTTTCCAAAATCTGCCTCCCAATCTGTTCTTCAGTGTCTCTGTTGCTATTGGGGGGTCTATAGAAAACTCCCAATAAAGTGACTGCTCCTTTCCGGTTTCTGACTTACACCCATACTGACTCAGTAGACAAACGCTACTTGACGACCTCCATTTCTGTAGCTGTGATACCATACCTGATTAGCAATGCCACTCCCCCACCTCTTTTACCTCCCTCCCTATTTCTT